GGCGGGGGGGGGGGGGGCAGGTGGAGAAGGCAAAAAAAAGTTTATGATTTTTTTTTTCGGGATACCAAATTGAATATCCGGGCGACGCCGTATTTAATCCATCATTTATGCGACGGCAAACGGCATACGTTTAAGTGTCGATATGTCCCCATCATCGAGTTGTGTTTTTTTTTTATTTTTTATTTCGATCCTCGTCCGTTTTATTGTACCCCTGTACCACCACCATCAACACCACCCCACCACCCCCGACACAATCCCATCCCTTAGGTCGTCGGTGTGCAATGGCTGCTGCGCGTCATACACTGGCCTTTCGTCGAGCAAAATGGCCGCCGCCGCCGCCACCCCCGTACTCATCAACATCAGCGGCAGACTTTTTTTTTAGTTTCAACCCTTCTTGCCGTTCTATCCCTTCTGGCCGTTAGAGGTTTTTTTTTTTTGCAAATTTTATTTTATTATCGACGCCTTTTTCGCTTGCGCTCTACAAGCCAATTGTTTCCCTACGCACATAATTACTGTACACATTATATATGTGTATATATATATATTTTACGGTAACGGCGGCCGGTGCCGAGTGCCTTTATTATTATTATTATTATTATTACTATATACTACATACATACGGCGTAGGTATAGTATGTACAGGGTGATCCATCTGATGTGTAAGACACTCAAACTCTTTTCAAACACTTTTCTATTTTGAAAACAATTGTTTTCCTATTGTACTTGAAGAAGTATTGAAAAGATATCAGTTCACTTCAGTTTCTTCACCCCTCGTACGAAATAAGACTGTCCACTTTGTTTTTTTCAAATACAAACACATATTTTTAAGTCTACACCTGGGTGAGGAAAAAATTAAATTTTGAAATTGTCGTTTGAATTTTTAATTTTCGGTTGGTCACGTCTTATGACTTTCTAAACATTTGAATGCAAGATCGGTTTTTAAAGACAGTAGCCCAACAAGTTACCGTTGAATAATAATATTGACCACTGTCGATAACACTGTCGCCGATAATAAGACTTAAATAACACCGGTTACACATTTATTTAAACATTTTTTTAGAGATAAGCAATTCTTTAGCAATTCATAGCAAACGAAAAGATTAATGAAAATTCAAAATTAAAAGCTAACATTTTTTTAAAAATTTGTTGTCTACATTTTTATGGAATTGAAAACACAGGTTCCCGTTTGAAAAAAACAAAGTTAAGATAAAAATTACTTTTAAAGCATTGAAAAACATAGTAAAATATGTACCTACGAGTTAGGGAAAAACACAATTTAAAAAATACTCATATTTTCCGGGAAAACCAGCGTCTTACATCAAATGTATCACCATGTATACACTATACGTAAAGAGCAAGTTTTTGCCGGCCATCTCGTTTGAAGATTTTTGCCATTAAAAAAATTCTACGTGTCGGACCTAAAACGTACCGTTTTAGTTGTATTTTATTCAATTTAATTTTTTCCGCCTTAGTCGTTAAAACGCACCGGCAGGGAAAAAAACTATATTATACCAACGCAGTATAATATGTAATAATAATACGAACGGTGGCAACAACAACATGGTAGAATATTATAATCCTACTGTACTATATAACAATAATGTGTTGTCCAGCTGCGTACTGTACCTGTATGCGTTTTTGAAAATAATAACACAATAATTGTCTAGGAAAAACGTGGAGTGCGGAAATATTCCTCTGCGGTTTTAATTACTGCCGTATCATCAATATACACTGTGGAAAAATAAATAAATCATTTCCCATACCACCTAGTCGTTGGCACGACCCGGACAAGTGGAACGGTTTTTTTTTTGTTTGTACCCAAATATATATCTATATAGATATATTTATCGGGGGAATAAAAAAATATACACATCGAATTCGGACGATAATAAATAATTTGTTCTCTGACAAATATTAAGTGAGCGGATATTGTAATTTATCGGCCGCTAAAGAACTGCAGCTCGTTTTGTACACCCCAATATACACGTGTATCACCATACAAACTACATTTTAAACACAACTCGTGTGTATGATAACATATAAAATATAATAGTTGTACATCCGCACCGCCTCTATACTCTGTCAAAATAAGAAGCATTCATTCGTCTTCAATTCTTACTTCCTACTCTGCTAAGTGTACATGCCGCCATTTGGGATAATTGAAGCTACCGTTTTCAACCTTATCACATGAAAATATGTTTATAACAATTAAAAGTTAATATGATAACACAGAATCACATATCTATATATAAATATATTATTTTATACAATATAAACATAAATCTCACAAAAACAGCAGACGTCAACTTTCATTCTTATCACTAGTTAGCAATCTAGTTTATTATACATATCTGTGCGTCCGAGCGAGTATGGTAATATGAATATGAAATTATATTCGAAATGGACCAATTTCGAACGCTCGTATAATGGATGTGGATAGAGAAACATTTTTTTTTTATAATTCAAACGGTGTTGTGACAAGTTTGGATAATTTAGCTCAGTTGGGTGTTGGATCACTGTTTGTCGATGAAAGTACATGAGCTTAAGTAAAACACTTATTGAAGGAGTGGGAAAAATGGCTTGAAAAGATCTCAACGAAAACAAGTAGCTCCAAAACGGCGTACGTCGATTTTAGGTGTGTGAGAATTTGATCGTCAATGCGGAAGCTATGTATGTGCCTAATCTATAGAGTATAATATACATTATACGTCATATACACAGCCACTTTGCAGCTACAATAATCTCGAGTATGTTATTACTAATAACGCACACGCACAGTCGATCAATTTCGAATGTTTCCAATTAAACACACTTGTAATCCGCATAACTACACGCTATATAATATCATAATGCTATTATTTTATGCTTCTACTACATACCCATCGACTGTTACACCTAGTTTACCTAGTTTGCTAGTCGGACCGTAAGAACAAAGCAAATTTATGAGACACCCCAACGTTTTACTGTTATTACATCAACAAGTTGTTAATATTTTTGATATTCAGACACATCACATAGGCAAACGCGTAGGATAAAATGTACATTGATTGAAATACAAAATACTGTATTTTATATATTTTGTACATAATACTATATGTGGATAATGTATTTTGTATTTTAAAAGAAAATCTATTAGCTATTAAATAATTTAATGTTATATTTTTAGTACACTGCCACATTTTAATTGTTATGAATGAAACATACAAACAGTATTATTTATAATATAAATTATATATCAATCGGTAACAATATAATATAACAGTTACCGACCGCGTTCACTTGGATTTAAATTTGAATTTTGTTAATATTAGTGATTATTATTTTATTACATTATAGTTTTAAAATATGTGTGTTGTGCATTGTATTGTATTTATGAATTATGAGTTATTTAGTACAAATGAATACTATAATATTATATTCTATTAGACAACACTTTTAACGTTAAGCAACATTATAATACATGTATTAATTAGTCAGCATTGTACAAATGTTTAAAACATATTCATACATCATGTTAAATACATTAACTTATTACATATAAACTACTGTAAACAAATAAACGTATTGTCATGTTATTTTAGAAATATTAATAATATATTTGGTTGTCTGAAAATTATATGTCATATTATTGTTACTTAAAATGTAAATACATGAAGTATAATTTGTAAATAATTTACATAATATTAATAATTATAGTTGAAGTGTACTTCAAGGTCTTCTTACCACTTTGAAATATCCTTGTGTTGAGTTGAATGTACTCACTTACATTACACATCTTTGCATTTGCAGTACACCAACAAATTACTTCCAGACAAATTGAGCATTAAATAAACTTACATTTATTATTTAACATAACAAACATATAGTATAAGGTTTTTAGATTATTAATACATTTTTGAAAATGAAAGTGGATCGAATACTCTATTTGTTATTTATTTATTGAACATACATTCGTCTATTATTTGATTTTTGCTTGATATAATTTATCGTTTCTTACACAAACATTTGTAAATATTATATTTTTCAGAAACGCTTTAAAGTAGTTTTGTGGGAAATGTTTCAAATTTAATTTTCGTTTCATATTTTAAAACTAGTTAATTGCGTTTAATTATCGTTAATTTTTCTAATACTTTGGAAATATTTTTAAATTATCTGTGTTATGAATATTTGATTTCCTGCCAAAATATGATGTAAAACTAATATAAAACTTAAACTTAATGGAATATAATATACGAACTGTACGGGTAATATTACATTACATACGACTATACTAGACCGGATTGATGGGTTTCGTTTTTTACCGACACAATATAATAATAATTGCTGAATTCAGTTTTATTCATTTGGTTCCCACCAGAGTTGTATTTACACGAGGGATACACACGCACATTCGTTACAAGATGCAATAATATAAAACGATATAGGTATAGGTATACGATATAGGTATATTGTAGCCTCTCCGTTACAGTACATAATATGTGGGAGCAACTAGGAAGTGCAAAAGAGCACAAAGGGTTAAGAGAGTTGGAACGCGCAAGGGAGAACCGCACCCTTCTAATAATTTTACCTGTCTACACACATATAGACACTACTCCTACGCCTTACACCGGTCAAGTGTGTGCGTTATACAGTTGTGCACAATGACAATAACCGGTTGATACGGTAACTTATGTGTATTGCTGCTGCCCTTTGCACGCACAAAAGGTGTTTTCCTCTATTACTGCCGCCGTCTCCTCGGTAATAATAATAATAATATGTTCCCATCGTATCTGCACCTTGACCACCCCCGTTATACTTTTTTTATTCATCCGAATTACACCCACACGATAGGTATATTATACTGGCAAATACCGTTGCATACGTTCCGTGGGAACGAAGAAACCACACAGTCTCCCCCGCACTAGTCTTTTGTGTGTGTAATGTTTTTTATTGCATACATTACAACGTGCAATTTATTAAAATTGTGTGAACCGATTATTTAGCCGGTCAGTTCGTTTTCCGATCTCGTCGTGACATCAGGCCTCCGACGTCTTCGAGTCGGCGCTCACGTAAGTACCTATTTTATATGTAAGATTCGTGAAAAAAATTACTCGAGTATTTTTGTATTACATCGGTTCGAACAAAATATACATAATACTCCTAGACCCAAAACTAAACAATACCCGAAATAAAACAAAACGATCCATTACCGACTTTCTTCCAAAACACAATACATAAGTAGGAAACGCGGATGTATAAGCTGGTAGTGTCGAGCGCGGTCTCCTGGGCTAGAAAAAAACAGTAATATGTTTAATATTGAATTTTTTATTCGAACAATTTTGTAATTAATTTTTATGAAAATACATAGTTTTATAAACTTCATACTCGAATTATATTTTGGGTAGTCGGATTCCAATGTGAAAAAAATGAATAAAAATCGGTATTCAATAAAATGTTATGTAACCTGAAAACAGAATAAAATAATTTCGGCAAATACCCCGAATTAAATACCTAACATAAACAACATTTTTAATTATTTTTTTACAACACTCCGGTGATCAAATTATTACTTCCTGGTAAACACATAAAAGGGTAATTTCATCTTTATCGCTCTGTGCTGAATGTTACTAGGAAACTCGACTTAACTGTTTTGTTGGTATTATTAATAAGGTCGGTAAATAGATAGAGTTTATCAAGCTTAGTACAAAAAAAAATATTGGTTTTCAATGAGAAAAAATCATTTTTTTATTGTTTGAAAATAAACATTGTCCAATAATTATGAATTGACATTTACTCGAAAATGGTTGAAAAGTTAACATTTAAACGAAAGAAACAAAACAAAACATGTTGTTCTAAACGTGACTGTTTCAATTTTAATAACTAAATTATTTCTAACACAGATCTGATCGTTTGAAGCACATAACTCAATGCAATTTCACCGTACAAAGCGCTTTAAGACGTTCGCGGTAATTCACTCTCAGGTTGTTTAGTTTTTCTGTTTTACTACTCACCGGTGAGTATTATAATACAACAGTTTTACTGTACATGTTATTCCTCTATTGTACATCGGCATTTAACGCTTCGCGTGCACACCCAAAAGAGAAACCCGCTTCAATCTGTTTAGCATTTGCAGGACATGAGCCTTGGCTGCAATAGAGTTTGGTCGTTGTGGTCGCTGAAAACCAGTTGGCACCGGCCAGGTGTGTTAGGACTTGGGGCACGCGTTCACCCTTGGCTCGTGTTCTGGCGCGGGTCGCATTGTCTGCGGGTCGACCCTATCTTGTCTGGTTTCTGACAATGGTCTGTTATCCTCATTGCTTCCCCCCCCCCGACCCCGTCCGGTGGTCTTGACCGGCCGAATTTTGGAAATATCTAATTCCGTGTTGAAATCTTAGCCCGAAAACCGTTGAAATTCAACACAGAATTCTGGACAACAATTCACCGCCTCAGAATAAAAATAGATTCTAAATAGATTTTTTTTTTTTAAAAGTATGTTATTGTATACAATAGATAAACATTTTTTTTCTACATAATTTCTAGGGAAGTAAAAAAAAAAAACTCGAACAACTATAAGTGATTGTAGCGGAACCAAGAAGTATCTGCTACGACCTATTCATTTTAAGTAATATTTCACGATCGAATGGGTTTAAACAATTTAACTATAAAGTGTGAAAAACAGTACCTTCTCAAAGAAAAGAATACATAGGTGGACCAACTGAAACTACGGTTAACATGATTTTAAAACATTTATAGTCGGAATAATAAAAAAAATAGTAGGCAATTTTAATGTTTAGTTATATATAACTAAAACATATATTAACTACCTACTTATAAATGTTTAATTGGCTCAACTATTTATTTAGTTATTCCAACTAGAAATTGATCCCTAGTTTATAAGCAAACATTTATAAGGTATAACAATATAATATAGCTTTAAAAATAAAATTATACTTACTAAAACGGTTACACCAAAAATGTATTAAATTTTTTAAAACAAGTGCTTTCCTTACATTACATAAAATAATTTACTATTATAAAAAAAAAGTAATACCGTTTGGGTGTACCCGATTGATTTTTTGCTCAAATTTATATATTCTTTTTATAGTTTAGACCTTTATATGTATAACATAGCTTTTGGAAACACTTAACTACACGTTTTATTTATTGCGCATAAACATATCTCATCGATATTCAATCTGTGTTCATTTATTTTATGAGTTATAAACATTAGTTAAAGAGAAATAGTTTAACTCTATAGCCGGTGTGCGATGATAATAACAATAGTGTACTACTCTGCACTTTAAATAAAACCGATACTCGTTGATATTATAGTCATGAAAACTGTACAACGGTTAACCAAATAAATAAATGTATACAACTATTTTGACTTTAGTACGGTTAAAGATGTTTGAAAATCTAAGATTTCAAATTTAACTTAGTTTATGTCAATTAAAAAAACTACTGGTTCTTATTTTTTTTTGTGTGTTTTTAAATATTAGTTATTTCCTTGGTGTTGTTTGATTTCTTTTTTTTTTTTGACACTTTTTATATCAAATGTGCAAAATATAACTTAGATAATAATCTCAATTATTGTTTAACGTTTATTATAAGATATTGTTTTTTTTTTAATTTCACGGTTATAAGGGCATATTATGGTCGTACGATAGAACCCATATATTCTAACCTAACCACAAATTAGCTATATTAAACATTATAATTTGTTGTTATACATGTATATTATTTAAACTTAATTCCAACAATACTTGTATAAAACGTATTAGGTATGATTTCGAAAGTAATTTTCATTAATGTACAAAAACGTTGTATGCAAGAATACTGATTAATAATAATACTAAGAAACTAAATGAATAATAATTAACACAAATATATAATTCAATCATTATTGGTTTTTAACTATAAACAAATGGTACCTGAAAAATATGCATTTACACTTGGCCCCTTTGTTACCCCGCTTTATCCTATTTAAGATATACAAAATCAATATATTGTCAAGCCTCCTAATACTTACACTACTTGAGTAAGATAATTTTTTTTTTACTTCTGAAATAATTAAAAGTCAATCAAACTTCTTTGTAAGATAATCAAAAACTAAAAAAACAATTTTTATAATAATTTTGGTCAGGCTTTTAGGTCTAAAATAAACCAAACTCGTTTTTACTCATAGAAAATATTATATAAATTAAAAATAACACCTTACGGAAATTAACCGGAAAACTAATTATCGACACGGTGAAAATGTATTGAAACCGCCTTTTCCTTTAATATTGCCCATATAAAAAAACTCCTTAAAAACCGCCCTCGCCCGCGCGATGTTAGCAAAGTTCGTTAATCACAATTCATTGTTTGTCGCAGAACATAATAATATTTATAATAATTGTTAATGTGTGTATTTTCGAATACAGTTTCGGGTAATAATCCAAAAAAGTTGTACGCATACACATTGGAAAAAATGGCTGCGCCTGCCACTTGGATGTTAATGTCGTGGGTACCTACTATACTATGAAGACGGTCGATTTAACATAATATCATTATTATTATCGGGACGTTAATTCCAGAGAGCTGCTTATCGCCTGTTTTCGGAGGAAGGGTAGAAAATGTAATTATTTATCATCATACACACACGGGGGGGGGGGGCACTCATTCCGGCGTTTTTCTGAGAGGAATATAATATAATATAAATAACCAGTCGGTTGCCAGAGGTTTTTCCGGTTGAATAACGTGTCTCGCTATTAGTTTGTCGCCGAATGCGAGAGATAGACATAAAGAAACGGTACTGGACGGTTTTTTGTTTAAAGTTTATTTTTTTTTTATTTTTTTCGCCGACAATAATTCTATCGCGGGTCCGTCCCCGCGAGTTTGCCCCGGGTTTCTCCGGGCAATAAATTAAACGGAAGTGAGCCGAAACTAAAAAAATAAAAACTGGCATGTAAAAAAAGGAGTTGCATATTAAAAAATCCTGCTTACTGTAGCGTTACGTTAACGACTGCCGGGTTGGAATTCTTGCGCACGAGTACGGGGGAGGAGGAGGAGTGGACCCTCTTTTTTTTCTCTGCCATCCGAGCAGGGTCGACTGTGTGTAAACATTACGGCGTTATCTTCTGGTCCGGGGCAGAAAATAAATCGTTTCGGAGCTAAAAAAAAAAAAGGGTTAAAAAACCCTTATAGTTTAGATCCGTCCTTCGGATGGACCGGCGGTGCGGTGGTGGCGTGGAAGAGAAACGCAGGGGAAGTACAAAGCATTACGCCCTACCCCTCCCCCATCCCTTGACATTAGGGTAGTTTTTAGAGGGTAAAGCCGCCGACGCCGCCGCCATCTTTTAAGTCGATAACGCCCGCGGCGGTGGTAGCCGTTTGTGGGCCGGGGACGGAGTGCGCAAACTCGGTAGCAGCTTGCACGGGAAATAAATTTAAAAAAAGTTTCCCTGACAATAAAGAAACGCCGGTGCACGTAAAAAAATAATCCCCTCGGCCACGTTAGCAACATAAAAATATGCCAAGCCGGCCCGGCGGGTCTTGTTCGCGAAATATCAACGCTTTGGTTGTTTTTGTTTTATCCCAAAGGGTTTTTGTTTCGTTCTGTTTTCATAGTGCTTAATAATAATTATATTATGATAATGCACCGGTACGACGACCGCGCCCTGGCCCGTACTTAAAAAATCACCCCGGATTATAAATATTATACACAATATTATCTAGTAGGTAGCAGGAAAACGTGCCTATGTATGTGTATAGTACGATGCACAGTATTATTTGCGCCGGATCTTTAGAAATAACCAAAAATGACAAAATTCTACCTGGAACCGGGTTTGGAAACTATCTCATGATGATAGTGAAAAATCTTTACAATATTTATCAGATTAAATGATAAATGTTGAGTTTTTATGAAGAAGCCGCAGTCGGTAATTGTTTGTTTTGAGTGACAATTTCAATGTACCTATTGTCTCTACATGCCACTCGAGAAGGACAGTAACGAGTGTCTATATACAAATTTTTGATTTATAAATGAAAACCTGACATTTATTAAGGCTTAAGTGTGTGTTACCTACCC